CTCAGCCATTGAAAGTGTGCATGTGAATGGTATATAATAAGCATATAATAAATGGTCGATTCATGTTTAAATATATATGGAAGGATTTGTATGTATAGATGCATTCATCCATCCATTCATTTGCAATGTTTATCTTTGCAACATGCAAGAAATAGACAGAAGCTGCACTATGCCGTAATTTTTCTTTTAATGAAATGATAATATTTTTGGAAAAGTTTTAAACTTCAATTAATATAAATGTCATTGCTCAAAATTGAACATAATTAAAATATTTGATAATTGAAGAAATATTCTCAAAAAAAAAAAAAGATTATACGTAGTATTTCGGAGTCGGAAAACTTAGTACTACTATACCATATCTCTATGGTGCACGGACACGGGTGTCCTACTTATAGCGAAATTACGACACGGCCCGAGACAGGTGTCTGAAGCGTGTCCGGGCGTGTGTGAGTGTCCAGGAATCGGATACGAGGACTCTTCACCTCCTAGAAGTGTCCGTGCAGCATAGTCATATCTCTCTATTTTATTAAATACTAGCTAACATAATTTATATCGAAACTAAAAAATTGGATTCCTACGAAGAAAAACTTACTAGAATTTCCACATCAACCTTCATTTGCTCATACTAGGCCATATTATTGACTAATTGCGGAGGCCTTCCAGTAGAAAATCTAATTGAATTATTCGATCTTGGTTGTGAAGTCCATATTCATAACCGCGGATAGGACGAAGCCAAGCCGATATATACATACGATCGGGCGAAGGAAAGATCCCCTGGGAAACGCGGGAAGCATGCTACTCCCCGAAAATACCCCGCCACTGCCCGTGAGCGCGGTGGGAACGGGCTTCCCAAAAAGCCGGCCCGGTCCGGTGTCAGCATAGTAGAATGAAGTTAGTGGTTCGAATCCGCTTCTAAACGGGCAAAGGGTCCTTAAGTTAGATTTATTTTGACATAAAAAATATATACTCGATTATTTAAAAAAAAAGAGAGAAAAAAGCTCTAATTCACAAAATGTTAAATTGATGTTGGTCCCATTTGTAGCAAAATCATGGAACAGTTTCCAAAGACCTCTTAACAGTTTCAATTTTGACTAAAAATTCGACAAATTTTCATGCAATTCTCTTCATCTGTACATTACCATAAGTACACCGCCAATTTGATCTTCTCATTGTCTAGTCTTTTCATTGGTCAAGGATTTTTTATATTCCTTCTAAAAAAATAAAAAAAAGATTTTTTATATTCATATTAAACTAGCAATAAGCCAATAATATCTTAAAGTATTTTAATTACGTTGAAATAAATAGAGAGATATTGATTAAATAGCCTTATAACTCAAGTTGTTGTTCCAATTGATGTTTAATTTTATTTTTTAGGCTACATTTGGATAGAAGGATTGGAATGAGGGATTTCAAATTAATAGTAACAAATCCTTTGGATTTGTTTGGTTTGAGGGATTAGTGCATGAATTTCAAATTCCTATCCCTCATTTTTTTGGTTATAAATGAAGCAATTGATGTGAATTTCAAATGACTCTAAATTGAAATAATTTCAAATCTTTCCTCCAAATTGATGTCAATTTTTTTCATTCAAATGGACCCTCAGGTAATTACCGGTGTAACATTTATTTACTAACATATACCTTTGCCACTAGTGGCAAATGTTTTTCTTTTTCCTGCTTTTCTGAAATGAATTAGTCGTATAATGTTACTGCTGATGTAATATATTTACTTGGATAATACTGCAATCGTTCCATAACATTTGTCATTTAAAACAAAAATTTGTTTCGTACTAATATATGTCATTTTATAATTCCAATACAACATTAATTACAAATTGTTCAAGTATTCATTTATTAATTTTCTAACACTCGCTGTGCATTAAATTATAATAAACAATGGTACTTTGTTATAACAATATTTATTTTTCTAAACCAAGACGTATTTATTGAAATTTTCAGGACTCCGGCAAATTTTCAAAACGTCACATATTAAAGGATTTTTGCAATTTTACTAGGTGCAAAATTGGTCATTGAGATTTGAGATGACACCTGGTGAAATACACAGAACGAATTTTAATCATTGATGTCGCGAAATAACTTCCAACTAAGCACACATACATATGAGTGTGTGTTTTTGTAATTATATCCAGATCAACGGTTAATAATCACTCGATATATTTTATATGGTATAACATCAAATAAACCGTATAAAATAACAAGATGGCGAATGGTTTTGAAAAAAATGGATATAAATAAAGTAAAAACTTTTGAAAAATGGAAAAAAGGAAAAACAAATGAGACAAAATGGAGAGATTTAAAGAGGACCACTAGTTTGTGGTCAACATTCGGACAATCCTAAAACGCAGTATACTTCAGGGAAAATAATAATAGATAAAAATACAAGATCCAAGTACAAAATCGATTCGCATAATCAATACTAACCACTATTTTGGTATCTCAATTCTCTCAAAAATGTTATTCCCTCAAAAGAAAAGGAATAAATCAATAAAAATTAAATAAATAAATAAATAAATAGATAAATAAAAAATACGAATATATCAACTTATCTTATTTCCTTTTGTTAAGTGGGACTATTTTTTTTTTTTTAAAGGTGGTGATGGTCGTTTTCTTCTAATACTTATGGTTTTCTATTTTTTATTCTAAGCCATTCAAATGGTGTTATAAGTCTCCGATAAGATCATGATTTGATTGAGTAATGTATAGTGATGTAGTATTATTTCATTGGAATTCAAATCATGTCTAAAATTCTTCAATTTAATTTTGTATAGCGGTGGAGATGATTGAAATCAGGGCCGTTCCTAAGAATTCGGGGTCCCTAGGCGTGATTTAAAGAATAACTCAAATTGGGGGCCCCTATTTGAAAAAAATAATTTGTTTATAAGGATGTTCGAAATTAAATATACTAATAGAATATAAATAACATTTCGTAAAAGTGATGAACTAAGAGATTACGGGGGTTCGGGGGCAGCGCCCCCGATTTTTTTTTGAAATGTATGAATATAAAATAACTAAAAATATGAAAAAAATTCAAATTAACCCAATAGTTTGCTGGTTCACTTACTACCGTAACATATAATCTTTATAGCAAATAAATTTCATAAATATTTTATAAAAAGAAACTTGAATAAACAAATGAATATTGATTCAAATTTTAGGAATAAAAATAAGTAATTAAGACATTATAAATTTAATATTTAGGGGCCCCATCTACTTGATCATTAATTTTAAATTTATTTTATAATTGATGTTCCAAAATATTATATATATAATAAATTTTAAAATAAGTACTGATATATAAAGTGTATATTAAAACATTTGGGGGCCCCAAATTTTTGTAAAAATTCGGGGGCCCTAGGCGACCACCTACTTCGCCTCCCCTCAGAACCGGCCCTGATTGAAATTAAATCAAAACGAGCTTCAATAGTTTATATTTAAGTTATTATATTTAAAAGGTTTACAGTCGCTGATCCACAGTTAACGTCTCAGGCGTTATTACTTCGAAAAAAGGGCAGTTGCTAAATACTTTTGGGCACTAATACCCTTTCAAATCATGACAATTACATTTTTGCATTTTGCTAAAAGTTCATTCGACAGCTTAGTTAGAGAGTTATATAAAAAATAGTCATTTTAGACTGAAAATACCTTATTATCTTCAACTCATCCGTCCTGAAAACCACATCCACTTCAAATAAAAAATCATTTCTTTCACTCTTCCACCTTTCCCTACCTGTACTCGGCCACCGACCGCCTAAATTTCGCCGCAACATCATTGGAGAAAAGGTTATTTGTATCTAAAATGTCTATTACCAGTCCAAATCCTCCAACTAAGTCTATTTTCCAACTAATTTGTCTATTTTCAGTTTAAGTTGTCTATTTTTAATTTAAACTGTCATACTAAGCTACCCGATGAACTTTTATCAAGTTCAAAATCCAAACGCACTGTTAGTTATATAAAATATTTTTGAGCTACTTTTTAACTAATTTCCCTTAAAAAAAATTTAGAGTGCTCATTCATTTAAAATCTCAAACTACCGGTAGGTGAATCAAATAAAATCTTTTCAACATTTGGTAATATATCTATAAAGTCGGATCTTGTAGACTTCAATCATAGAGATATATACCTCTTAAATCTCAATTATTTCTTTAACTAAATTTTAATTTTACTCACAATTTAATTTTAGACTTTGCATAGAGTTTCTAGTGGCTAGGCCACATCATATACTATTTGAATGCACACTATTATTTTTGAAACAAAAAACTACAAAAATTTCAACGTATGGCCAATTTTGGGAAGATGATTAATAATTAGATTACCAATAAAAGTAATATTGGAAATATGATAAATTGGTAATCAAACTTCAACACACATTAATATGCTTGGGACCAGTTCTGATAGGGAACCGATTCATTGATCATAGACTGGTTAGCAAGGATCGGTCCGTAAAACGATCAACAACGGTTAGTATAAGTAATTTTGTAACGATATTTTTCATTCTAAATCCCAACTTTTTTTGCTGATTTTATTTTGAATCGGAATTAGAATACATAGGATATTCAGATTTTCGATCCGATTTTAATATTTTATGTATTCAAATTGGGTTTGAAATATATATATATACATCAATGTTATCAGGTATTTATATTTAGATAACTAACAAATGGCAATTTCGAAATACGGTCGATTGCGATCCGAAAATTTATGAATATATCTTTAGATGTAATTGAAACATTTTCCCAAGTGGCCTATAGATACTTACCAAGTAGTTTTGTATATAAATATATCATAATTTGTACAAATTTGAGGCCCAATTTTTTTTTTATCTTTTTTATTTTTCGAACCTTGAACTTGGGTCGCCCTGCATACGCGCGCAACACACGTGGGTCGTCGCGTGCACACGTGGCACCAAACATGTGGTCACATCACACACGTGTGCACGAATACGCGTGGAAAACACAACCGTTATAGTAGTATATATATGGTAAAGTAGAGTAGAGTTTAAAGAGTTTGTAGAGTGTGAAACCTCTGTAATACATTCCCCTACAACCACACTTCCATCTCTGATTAATATGTAAGCATATTTTTTTCCGCTTTCTTCTTCAAATTTCTCACAATCTATTCAATTCCAATTTGTTTTTCCGCAAATTTTATGTAAATAAATCATATATTTATATATTTTTTATTATTGGATCTGGTATTCATCCTCGCATGCAATAGCGCGAATGTATCGTTCTTTTAATTGTGTTCTGTAATTTAATTGGATTTATGAAATTGAAATGATGGAATACATGCAATTTGTTTTGTTTAAACAGATTCCCCGGAGAAAATGGCGGCGCTGCCAACTCAACAGCCGCAGTTTATGTCCAACGGCGACCGGAGAACACACCCCAAGGACCCATTGATTGAGAATATTGAATATGATCAGATTGTTGTTCCTGATGTGAGCATTTCTTCTTTCATTTCAATTAATTGGGACTTTTTTTTTTATTAATTTATTTTGTTAAATCTTATTTAATTGTTGGTATAATCGCAGGAGATTTAAATAAATGTGTTCTGTAGTTTATGATTTATGATTTCTTGATTAAAACATACGAGCTGATTATTTAATTAATCACAACTTATCTTACGAGCCGAAAACGATTTTTTAAATTTCGTGTTTATCGAATTTTTGCAGAAGAAAAGTTGGAAGAATTTGTTTGCATATATGGGTCCTGGATTTCTTGTTTCCATTGCATATATTGATCCTGGAAATTGTAAGGCCATTTATATATATTAATATAACTATGTATTATTTATGGTAATAAATTTTGTAATTTATTGTCTCTTGTATTAACAGTTCAAACCGATCTTCAAGCAGGAGCTCAGTACAAATATGGGGTAAGTACCGATTTTTTCGTTCAAGGTTCCTTATTCTAAATTAGTGTGATGTTTTGTTGGATTTTTTATTCGCCGAGCTGCCAAATATACACAAAAGAAATTAATGTTGAACGACTTGAAAAAAGTTGCGAGGGGGCCATGGCCCCCATAACAATATGCTGGGCCTGTCTTAACTTCCTTGTTAATAATTTCTTGAAAATTAGTATTATCTTATCGAATTTCCATGTATTTTGTGTTGATATTACAGCTACTCTGGATTATACTTTTAGCCTCGTGTGCTGCTCTTGTCATCCAATCACTAGCGGCAAATCTAGGAGTTGTTACAGGTTGAATTATTTATTCGATTATATATATTAATCTTTTTATCGGCATGAAAGTGTTCTTTTATGATGCTTATGGGATATATGCTTTGTTTTTTTTTTTTAGGAAAGCATTTAGCAGAGCACTGTAGATTGGAATATCCGAAGGTCCCGAATTTTATTCTATGGATTATTGCTGAAATAGCTATAGTCGCATGCGACATTCCCGAAGGTTAATATTTCACCAGATCATTTTAAAATTGTTTTCTGTTTAAAATAAGAAAAATTAGACCGTTTATGGCAAAAGGAATAATTATGGGAAGCAAAGTAGCAGTTGAAATTACGAGTATTATTCATCTTCTAACGTTACATATACGAACATATGGACTTGTTTTTACAGATAAATCGATTCTTAAATTACTTTTTTTTTCAGTTATTGGAACAGCATTTGCTCTGAACATGCTATTCAAAATACCACTATGGTTGGGTGTACTTATAACGGGACTCAGTACATTGGTTCTTCTATTATTGCAGCAATACGGGGTATTTACATATCCCTCGATTTTCATTGCATTATCCTACTCTCTTTATATATGGATAATGTTTTATAATGTAGTAATTAGAATAAACTTGTTTGAAATTCACAGGTGCGAAAGCTCGAGATCCTGATTACATTTCTTGTCCTAACAATTGCGGGCTGCTTCTTTGCTGAGCTGGCATACGCAAAGCCCGTTGCTTCGGAAGTTTTACAAGGGCTATTTGTTCCTCAACTCAAGGGAAGCGGAGCCACTAAGCTCGCTATTTCACTCCTCGGTGCTATGGTTATGCCGTAAGTTTCATTTTTATAACATTATTATATTTAAAAAATAAATTTATTTTTATTAATTCATATTGTTGTTTACCTAAATATGGTTCAGGCATAATCTTTTCCTCCATTCGGCGCTGGTTCTTTCGAGGAAAATCCCACGATCCGTCAGTGGCATCAGAGTAATAAAATTATTCTAGATTCTTTCCTCCGTTATATCTATATTTACGTAATTTACATTATTTTGATGTATATATGTATTAAAGGATTCGATGGTTTTCTCGTTCGTGCAGGAGGCGTGCGCATTTTACTTGATAGAAAGCGGATTCGCTCTACTAGTGGCGTTTCTTATCAATATATCGGTTATCTCAGTAAGTGGTGCTGTTTGCAATTCGTCGAATCTCGACCCTAAAGACCTTCAAAGCTGCAAAAACTTGGACTTAAACGAAGCCTCGTTTTTACTCAGAGTACGTGTAATTTTATTATTTTTAATTTAATACATGCTCTTAGTCCATTTTGTAACACTATTAATTTGAATTGCTTTCTATTCTTCGTAGAATGTTCTTGGAAATTGGAGTTCGAAGCTTTTCGCAATTGCTTTGCTGGCATCAGGTCAAAGTTCTACCATAACCGGAACATACGCGGGTCAATATGTTATGCAGGTGTAGTTTTCGTCCTAATTCTTATTACTTTCGTTCCAATATATATTTGCCTTCCGTTTTATTTATTTATTATTATTATTTTATTTTGTAGGGCTTCCTCGATTTACGATTGAAGCCATGGGTTCGGAACTTCGTAACGAGATGCTTAGCGATAGTCCCTAGCCTAGCCGTAGCTATCATTGGTGGATCTTCTGGCGCCGGAAACTTGATCATCATAGCATCGGTAGAAACACGATTCTTGAAATTTTTTACATGGAAATTAAAATTTATTTATCGTTTATAGTTTTATTATTTTTTTTTTTCGTTTTCTAATGCATTAATTAAACCCTTTGTTATGTTGCAGATGATTTTATCGTTCGAACTCCCTTTCGCACTAATTCCGCTTCTCAAGTTCACGAGTTGCAAGACCAAAATGGGAATATATGTCAACTCAATTGCGGTAAGAATTAAATAAAAGATTTTAAGTAGAATAGAAAATTTCCGTATTAATCTTTTCGAAGCTGCACCTAATTTTCCAATTTTGTTTTGTGCAAAACAGATTTCGGCGACGACTTGGATAATTAGCTCGCTAATTATGGCGATTAACATATACTACCTCGCAGAAACGCTAGTCACGTCGCTTCGCGAAAGCCATCTAAAAATAGTAGGCATTGTATTTTTGGGATTTCTCGGAGTATTAGCCATGCTAATTTATCTAGCAAGCATCGCTTATTTGGTTATCCGTAAGAACAAAGACGGGTCCCACCTAATCGCTCTAACGGCATCTGACAATCGGGATGTGGTCAATGGTCACGGAGGCGAGAGCCTACCTAGGGAAGACATAGTTAATATGCAATTACCTCAGACCAGGAATAATAATGATGCTCTTGATTGAAATCATTTTGTTTAGCATTTGTTTTAATTTAGTGAGAGCTCTACTTAGTTAATTCAACCACATTTTTTTGTTTTTGTCTGAAAGAAATGTGTGGTTAATAATATTTTTAGTAGTATTCTTTTTTTGGAATACATCACCAAATTAAATTCCCAAAGGTTTTGTAAGCTAAAACTTTTAAATTTTCAGAACTTTTGAATTTATGTTTAAATTCAAAAGCGAAACCATAAACGAGAAAACTCTCGCACAAATCTTATATATAGAAGAAAAAAATGGTTGTTAACCTTAAAAAACTCTAATAGTATTTCTATAATTAAATATTTTTAATATCTTTTTTCTCTACTAATTTCTAATTATAATTTTTAACAATTATCAAAATTGAAACTAAATTCTGAAGAATCCTATCTAATGGTACTTTTGTAATTATTTATTTTTAATATCTTTTGTCTACTAATTTTTTAACTATAATTTTCAATAATTATCAATCTCCTTATTTTCATCAATATATCTCAAATCTTAAGAGATAAAGATAAAAATTCGATTAGTTAAATCTTAATGTATATATTTGGATTATAAATCTTAACATGTCAGATTTAAAAAAAACTAATGTTATATAAAATATGAATAATACTACATTATTAAAATTTACTATGTTAGTATACTATATTTTCTTATTATGTATTAAATTGATTATTTTTTTTTCACTTTTGAAATAATATTCCGTGCATCGCACGGGAAAAAAATGCTAGTATGAAATCAAACAAGACACGGAATTTACATAGTTCGGAGAAATAAACTCCTACTCCTTGGTGGCAGTTAAGTATATTACTCAAATACTACAAGAGGTACAAAGTGTTTCTCTTAAGATTTTTTTACAAGTGCCTCTCTCAATTTTTCTCTTTAAATTTTTTTTGCATGAAGTTGGAACACCAACCATCAACTTGGGAGCATCAACCATTACTTTGAGTAGGGTGTTTTAATGGAAGAAAAAGAGACACATAGTAGAAAATTTTAGCCAATTTCAACAATCTCCACATTGGCGAAAATTCAAATCCTCATAACCGGTTTTTGCTGCCACCAAGTGCACCGGATATCCAATGTTGATCAAGTCCAAGCAATGGATCAACTTATCTCGAGTAATCACTTTTGTTAACATGTCGGCAAGGTTTTTGGCGGTTCCAATCTTCAACAATATTCGAACATCACCTTCATTAATAATTTCTGAATAAAGTGAAAATGGACGTCAATGGGCTTGGTTCGGGCATGACGAACTTGATTCTTCGACAAATAAATAGCACTTTGGCTATCACAAAATACCTCAACGTGTTTTTGAGCAATTCCCAAATAGCTTCCTTGAAAGCTTCGGTGACCGCCATGTATTCCGCCTCGGTAGTGGACAATGAAATGGTGGATTGAGAGTCAAACACTAACGAACGGGTTCACCGGCCATAGTGAACATATATCCAGTAGTCTGAGCCGGCTCAAGCCCATACGGGGCCCTAGGCAAATATTTTTTTTGGGGGCCCTTATATTAATTTTTTAATTTAAAATTAAATATTATTTTTTGGTATTTTCTTATTATTTGAAGTGAAATTATTAACATTATTATATCTTATGTTATATTTTCAACAATTTGGCTTTCATATAAATATTTTTGTTTAGTTTTATGAAAATATAAAATAAAATAAAAATTCAAATTTGGGGGCCCTAATTTATAATACACATAATTTAGGGGTCCCTATGAATATTACAGATAGTTTGGAGGCCCTAGACATACCCCTAAGTTGCCTATGCAATAGAGCCGGCCCTGTCAGTAGTGGATCGCCGTTTGTCTAAAGCATCTACATAGTCCGAATTCACATAACCGACACAAGTTTATCAAGCTCGAGATTTTATTTTCTTTTCAATTTAGACCAACATCAATGGTTCAACGAAGATATCGAAGTATCCACTTCACAACTTGCCAATGTCCTTTTCCCGGATCGTGCATGTACCGGCTAACCATACTAACCGCATGTGAAAGATCGGGCCTCATACAAACTATCGCATACATCAAAGCTCCGACAACGTTCGCATAAAGGACATTTCTCATGTATCTTCGTTCTTCAGAATTAGGGAATAAAGAAGCACTTAAATTGAAATGAGAAACGAACGGAGTACTTACGGGTTTAGTCGAACCATTGTTATCAAATCGTTGCAAACTTGTCCTCAAATATTGAGATTGCGATAACCGAACCGTACTCTTGCTTCAATCCCTTTTGATCTCCATTCCAAGTATTCGTCGAGCTTCGCCCAAGTCCTTCATTTCGAACTCCTTTCTGAGCTGGTCGTTCAATTTATCTATCTCCATCTTGCGCTTGGATGCAATTAGCATGTCATCCACATACAAGAGCAAATAAATGAAGGAACCATTTTAGATTTTCCGAAAGTACACACAATAATCAAATTGGTTGCGAGTATACTTGTGATTCACCTAGTTAAAACGTTTATACCATTGTCGAGGCGACTGTTTGAGGCCGTACAAGGATTTTTGAAGTTTGCAAGCCCAATTTTTTTTCTCTACAACTCGAAATCCATCGGGTTGAAACATGTAAATCTTCTCGTCCAAGTCTCCATGTAAAAAGGCCGTCTTGATGTCAAGATGGTAAAGCTCGAGATCCAATTGAGCTACCCATGCCAACATTCGAATAGACGAGTGCTTTCACAATGGGAGAAAAAAATCTTATTGTAGTCAATCCCTTCCTTTTGAGCCTACCCACTAGTCCTACCACCTAATTTATCCAACTTTGTGTGTCACGTTTCAATGCTTCGGACGTATATTCGTAGTCCATACCACTTCTTAATAACCAAACCTTATCAAACGCTTTATTTACACACAATACACACTCCTACACACACTAAATCACACGATCAATACACGATCTCACATCGACTTCTCAATTCGTTTTCCTCATCAATTTTACTCTTTCTTAAATTGTTTTCCCGAGTAAACTGCAAAAACTACCCCTGTATAATCTCGAAATAGCAAAAAACCCCCTGTGATAAATAAACTAGCAAAAACCTCCCCTGTGAAATTATTTAAATAGCAAAAACCCCCCTATGGAACTATTTGAGGGTTGACTTGATATGAAAAGACCCAAATACCCCTGAAGTCTTGCAATTAATAAATTCTTATATTTTATAAATATTTTAATTATTTTATTTAAAAAATAATCAATTTAGTTGTTTACTATTTTTTTAATTTCTAAACAAATAAATTAAAAAGAATAAATATACATATAATATGTATATATATAAATACATTTTGAGGGACAATTTTGTCATTTCAAGTCTAAAAAATCAGCTAGGGGGGATTCTACCTTTGACTAAATTTCACAGGGGGGGTTTTTGCTAGTTTATTTATCACAGGGTGGTTTTTGCTATTTCGAGATAACACAGGGGTAGTATTTGCAGTTTACTCTTGTTTTCCCCAACTAACTTGAGCATCGGAGTTTCTCCCGGGGCTCAAGCAGTGGCGGATCCAGGACGAAAATTCAGGGTATACCGGTTGTGCCGAGTCCAAGAATTTATTGTATAGTGGGGTTAAATTTTCGGGGGTTCGGCCGGAAAAAAAAAAATTAAACCTTTTTTTGTTGGATAAATTAGGAGAAGGGAAAAAAAAAATTGAAACTTTTTATTTTATTTTTTTGGATAAATTAGGAGAATAAAAAATTTGGGACTTTTTTTGTATATTTTAAATTTTGGGTGGACTAAATAATAATATAGATATAATATAATGTGTTTTTGGGAAGAGGGGCTAAAAAAAAAAAGAAAAAATTTAGGACTTTTTTTTGTATATTTTGAATTTTGGGTGGACTAAATAATAATATAGATATAATATAATGTGTTTTTGGGGAGAGGGGCTAAAAAGAAAAGGAAAAAAGTTAGGAATTTTTTTGTATATTTTGAATTTCGGGTGGACTAAATAATAATATAGATATAATATAATGTGTTTATGGGAGAGGGGCTCAGAAGAAATTTAGACAAAAATAGTAAACCATACTTTTTTGTTCCAATGGATTCGAACTCATGACCTCAACAAACAACTTGGAGATCTTTGCCACTAAGGCAAATTTATTTTCATTTTTTGGGGTGGTCCATGGCATACTTGGCCACCCCCTAGATCCGCCCCTGGGCTCAAGCCTCGGTATTTTAGGTGAACGGAGTAATTTTACGGCATCAAGGGGAAGGTGTTCGAGAAGAGTCAATGTTGGTGGCGGTTAAAATCGACCTCCATCAAATAGCATCGTCTGTGGAAAGTGGAGTCGAACTAAGGCGTTGAGTTGAGGGAAGTATTTTCATTAATATTAATATTTTAATTATATAAGTAGATTGAATTACTAGAAGAACATCGACTTTATTTTCTACCACCATGGAATTTTATGTTTATAACCTGCGAAATTGTACTATGTGGTTTGAGAAAATTTGAGGCATGCCCTAGTTTGTATACTTCAGCGTGACGATTGAATTGACGTGTGCCCTCTGACTCTTGTCTTTTAAGTTTGTATGTGGTTCTTGTTTCCTTGTATTATTTTTTAGGGCAAATTACGGCCAACTTCTTGAGATTTGACCAAATTACAAAAAATCCTCTCTTATTTGGGTAATTAGAGTCACCCGTCATTTTAAATATTTTTACATAAAATTTAGGGTAAATTACAACCACCCCCTGAGGTATGATCAAATTACGAAACCCCCCTCTTATTTGGATAATTACAACCACCCCCTCAACTCCTTAAAATTAGTGTAATCTTCGAAATTATATGGAATATTATCACTTTTGTACCCGTCTTATCCCATTTGAACTCTACATTTTGAAGCAAGATGATCATAATATGTGTTTTTTGGCTTGTATTTATCAGATTGTGGTGCATCAGAAACTGTATTTTTACACAAAACGAGTACAAACTAGAGCACATTTCACAAAATCTAGATGATTATGTTGAATTTGACAGGATAAAGGTGGAAGTGTAAGAAAAAAATCGTAGTTGAGGGGTAGATGTAATTATCCAAACAAGAGGGGTTTTTTGTAAATTGACCATACCTCAGGGAGGAATTTACCCTAAAATTTATGTAATTCGGTTATTTACTGAACCAAATCGTATATTCAGTTCGGTAAACAGTATGAAATGTTGTCGTACCGAAATTTCGGTTCGGTTTTACCGATTTAACATCCCTAAATTTCCCTCTGGAGGGGTATTTTCGTAAGATAGTACATAGTTGAGGGGTAGCCGTAATTACCCAAACAGAAGGGAGTTTTCGTAATTTGACCATAACTTAGGGTGGTAGCAGTAACTTTTCCTATTTTTTATTTATTTTGTTTCAAAATATTGTAAGTATGCGTAAGTTTGCCTAGACAAAGTTCATAATTGTCTTTTATTTTGTAATCTCCCGATGTAGAATGGAACAAACCAACAATCTAAACTAACATACAAATTAAAATACATTTCATTAATAATCAAATTTGCCAATAAAATGGCACTTACAATACAATACATCATCAACCCTTTCAAACTACATACATCAACTTGATGACAATATTGTTAAGGCCAAACAAGAAAAAGAAAAAGAAAAGAGAAAAAAAAAAAAAAAAAAAAAAAAAAAGAAAACCATTTGCACAAAGTAAAGGTTTTGTAATTAACTTCACAATATTAGTTATACATATAAAAGATGGTCACAAAAACTAATGGCCTTTATTACTGAAAAACACTACAAGAAAAACTAGTTTCAGTGACCAAATTCTCAGCGACCATCACTAAATGGTCACTGAATGTTTACATTTAGTGACCAAAAATAATTTTGTAGCAAAAGTGGGAAGGGTTAAATCTTGTTGCGACCAGCGAACATTTGGTAGCTATAAGTGGTCACTAATAGTTAGACATCTTGTAGCAACTAAAGTTAAAGTTTGTAGCGACAATTTTTATGGTCACTATAACTTAGTTTCAATAGTGACCAATTTAACTTCAATTTTTTTTACGGTTGCTACGAGTCTTTAATTTAATTATTAACAACCATTTAATTGGGTTGCTAGCAACCACCTGAATTTTGTTACTATGAAACTACTTACGGAAATCAAATCGATTTGGTCACTAGTTTAGTTTTTAAAGAAATCAAGAAAAGAAAAAAAAATAAAAGAAAAATGGGGGGCGAAAATGCAAATAATGAAAAAATACAGCCATATCTTTCTTTCGTTTCTTCATCACAAAACATTCTGTTCACTCTCTCCGCTCTCTTTCTCTCTCTACCAATTCTCTCATAATATTACAGAAAATCAAGAAAAAATTATCTCTTAATTTCTTCATTATGTGTGCACCAAAATCCCTCTTATCTTACCTCTTTTGTTTTCCCCAAAAGTATTCGCCTATTTCACCCAATTTGACGATTTGATTACAGGAAAAGAATTAGGGATTTGAAAAGAAATAGGGATTTGATTACAAGAAAATTGCTAACAACGTGGTGCTGAGGGAGAATGGGGATCGAAGCAATCAGGGCATACAGACTTTTGCCGGCGACACCATTATGCTCCGGGAGTCCGCCACCGAAGCCCAGAAGAAATTCGAGGAGAACCGTCACATGACCTCCCCTGCCAATCTCAGCCGCCATCTCGAGGAGGCGAATGAGGCCACCCGCTTCATCTCAACCATGATCATTCAGGCTAAGCTCAACGATCGCGGAGGTTACGGTATGACTAACAACAAACCCTCTTCTCCGAACTCCAACCCAATTCCCACCTCCCTTTTCCCTTTTCCTTTTTTCTTTTCTTCTTATGATGTAATTGTGCACGCCAGGTGTTTGTCAAAAGTTCTATTGGGCAAAACACTACTTATCATGGCTTATTATCTTAAAAAATGAACAAAAATTTGCACGCCGAAATTTGGTGTGAAATTCAGCCTGCTCGCCGGAAAGGGAAATAAAAATTGCTACCGCATCTGTTTTCGGAGCCAAAATCGAAGGGTTTGGAGTGTGAATTTGGGAATCATTCCTTCTCGAAACTCGTAGAGGACCTCGAAAACTGTGAGTCAGTGTTTAATTGTTTCCAATTCGAGCACGTGTTATAGCCTTTTAGGGGTCGGAATAAGACGACAGCGAATCTGTCAAAAAACAGGGCAGTTTTGCCTAATCATCATACGGAGCTATTTTTGTTATGTTGGAGTTATAATTTAGGCTATGTGTCTTCTGATGTTTTGTATATTGACTTGTGAGGTTTGATTTGGTATATTATTTGGTCGATTTGGATAACTCTACAAATTGTTATGATTTTTCAAATAAACTGTGACAGTTACAAGTTTGTCCAAAAAATTTCTGGCAGTTTTCTGTATTCAACTTTTCGTGCTGTTATTGATGTGTTATCTTAGTAATTGGGAGTTGGTATCTTCATCACAATTGTAGATAAAGTTGTGAACTTTTATTTGGTATATTGTTTTCCCAATTTGGATAAGTGTACGGCCTGCTACGATTTTTGGAAGAAAATGTGACAACAAATAACGTTGGTTTCTAGTTTAATGTCCATAGTTAGCATCTATCTGTGTCATTAGTTATTTGAGTCATTAGTTATTTGAAATTTGTTTTATGCATATTAAGCAAGAAGTTTAAAGTAATGTGATCGAAGGTGAAGCTTAAGAAACTAATGGATTCTTATTTCAGGTGTGTCATTCGTGGTTGTGTACCTAAGAAAATTTTGGTCTATGATGTTGCTTTTGGTGCTAACTCGAGGTGAGAAGACTTTGTTATTTGAGAAAGACTTTGTTAGTTATTTCTTCAATTTATATAACCAAATTTAACCCGACAGCTATGTTGGCGAAATTCTGAGAAATAGTAAACCTTCTGCCGCACCTGTTTTCGGAGCCGAAATCGAAGGGTTTGGAGTGAGATTTTCGAATCAGTCTCTTCACAAAAGTCGTCGAGGACCGTGATAATTATATGTAAGTGTTAAATTGCTTCTAATTTGAGCAAGTTTTATAGCCTTTTAGAGATGAGAATTTGACGGCAGTGAGTCTGCCAAAAACAGGGCAGTTTTGATGAATCATCTTCGTTGGGTTTTATTACCGTCTTAGGATAATAATTTGGGATATATTTCTTAAGTAAACTTTTAGATGAAGTTGTCAGCTTTGATTTGGTATATTGTTTGGCCAATTTGGATAACTTTGCAAATACTTATGAATTTTACAATAATCTGTACCAGAAAAGAGAATTTATCCGAAATTCTGGCAGTTTTCTGTAATCATCTTTTGGGCCTGTTTTGAATATGCTGGGATCATAATTTGTGATCAGAGTCTTCAGTGAACATGTAGATGCAGTTGTTAGCTTTCATTTGGCATATTACGTTCCCAATTTGGATAATCGTACCAATTGTTATGATTTTTCAAAGAAATTGTGGAAACAAATGTTTTAAACCTTTGTTTCGAGAATTCGTCAAACAAACACGAGTGAACTCCGTACCATGTGAATTGATGCCTGGAGTGTGTTGTATTTGGTAAATGGAACGCCATAGAAATTGTGTATTATGTTCGATTGTCAGTTATGGCATAAGATTTAAATTAGGATGTTTATATGAAATAGAACCGAATAGTAAACGATTATGTTAACATTCCATAACTTGTTTAATACTAATATTTGATAGGTGTTGAGTATATTTATGCTCTCATTAAAGACTTGAGTATGACTCCAAAGTAAGGTGTTTTTATAGCACTTGCATTGGACTTCAGGTGAGAATCTCTATTTCTTCACTATTATTTTTTAAATTTTGAGCGCAGATAAATTATTGACTTTTGAGTGCTACTAAGTGACAAATGATTGGAATTGATTCTATCATATGATTTCTTATTTTCTAATTGATTTTTTTCCCCTTTTCAGGTTGGGTTGGACTGTTTGATGAAGTGAAAGAACGTTATCGTGGAAGTCATATTTGTTGTCGCTTAACAATTTATGAAGTGGAATTTATTATGAAATAATTATAGTAATCTTTCTTATTATTTGAAATGATTGATTTATTATTGTATGTAGTATGATAGATTGAAATGTAATATTCATATTTGATTGATAATGTGTAAATTTGCAAGCTTTAGTTTTATTTTAATTTTTTTTACAGCCACTGTTGCAAATAAACATTAATGATTAATGCAACCAATTAATTATTGGTCTGAATTGGTCGGTAAATTTAATAATTGCCGCAATCGTGTAAAAACTATTGCAATCAATAATATGGTCACTCTATGTATATATTTTAGCAACCAACAGATATATTATTTATCAACCAATATATACCGTCACTATATGTATATTATGTAGCAACCAAAAAATGTGGTGGCCAAATATATATCCTATAGCAACAATAAAATATGGTCACTATACGTATATATCATTTAGCGACCAAAATTATATGGCCACTATATATGTTGCTATAGCAACCATGTTAATATTATTGCCACCATAAAATTTACATTAGCGAGTCAAAAACTGGTCGTTAATAATTATATTTTTAGTGACCACTATTAGTTCGCCACTAAATCTCATCTTTTAGCGTCCAATTAATTTTCTTGTCACTGAGTACTTTTAGTAACTACCCTGTTGTGACCATCGGTGACCAACCTTAATTTGGTCGCTATAAGTTTTAGCTACCATTTTCTAACTTTTAGCGACCATACAAAATCGTCACTAAAACCAAAATTTCTTGTAGTGAAACCACAATAGATATCAACGGCTAAGATTGAATAGTGATGGGCTTCTCATTTTGAGATGGGATTGGAAGATGGCCTTTTTCCTGAAGGCTTTTCACTGTATCATACAAACACTGCTTCACTGATGTGAACTCCAAACCCAAGTCCTTGAGCTTTTGGTTGGAGAATTTGTATGGTTTCTTTCTTGGGTTCTTTTCATCCGAACACCTGCAATTACCGGCCCGAACGAAAAAATTATTTATTTAAGAACTCGAAAATTCGATTTCGATGTATCGGTATTTTCTACTTAAAAATTAGTAAAAATAACAAACGTTGAAATATATTGTATAATGTTACTGATAATGAGTTCGAGTCACCTCAAGAGACACAAAAAATGCCAATAACTATAAGGGTAAATTATGGAAACCCTCTGAACTTTGGCTAAATAACGAAAAACACCTCCACCTATTCGTAATTACTAGAAAAACTCTGAGGTTTGTTTCGTCTTACACGAACCCCCTTACAGTGTAACTTTTCGCGATTTTTTTTTATTCCATGGAATAGATTTTACACAATTTCAGATATTTTCTTTTATTTCTCACCTATTTAACAGAAGTTATAATAGACTGTACACATTTTCTGTTAAAAAAACGATCAACAGTTAATCAGAGAGGGATTTTAGTTATTACGGATAGATGGGGGTATTTTTCGTTATTTATCCTAAGTTTGGATGGTTTCATAATTTACCCTAACTATAATAGTACTAAATCTTTAAACATGCCACCACAAGTGCAAAGCCAAATTATGATGTTGAATTTTTCACCCCCACCCCCACCCCCATCCCAAAAAAGGAAATTACAAAATGAAAGTATATATAGAAAAGATAGGATTAGCATGAAAGAAGAATTGTGTCAACCACTATGAAGAAAACATGGGTCCATTTTTTTGACAATGACTTGGTAGTAGGTAAAGACTCTTTAGAGAGCCCCACTAATAATATTGCTAACTTTTTTTTTCATTTTTTTATTTTTTCTTTATAAAAAAAATGAATTGCTTTAGTACTTTAGAAGATTTAGATAACCAATATGCATGTGTAATCTGACGTAGCATGACATCATCTAGCATTAATCTTTAAATAGATCCATCCACGTAAATATATAGACGCAACAAAACGTCCTCCACCACATAATTATCATGAATATTAATTTGAATATTAATCTTATAGCTAGTCAAAAAAAGAACTTACTTGGTGGGAATGGGATATTCCGGGAAGAACTTGGAGAGAATCTCCACCACGTCGCCGCGGTGGAGGACGCTCTCGGCGCAGAGGAACCGCCCCGTTGCCGCCGGGTTCTCGAACAAGAGAATGTGGGCCGTGGCAACGTCCTCGACGTGGACGTAGGCTTGGACCGAGTTGACATAAGTCTTTGCCGAGCCGGTCAAGTACTTCAGTATGTGGAGAACACTAGCGTTGACTGTGGGCTGGAGCAATGGACCTAGCACCAACACAGGATTGAGCACCACTAAATCCACACCCAACTCCTTGGCTGAATCCCATGCTGCTTTCTCAGCTACAGCTTTCCCATAGCAATACCAATTCTTTTTTTTTTTTTTTTATATATAAAAACAAAAACAAACAAAAAAAATAATTTACTGTTAATTAATACAATCGGGACTAGTTAAATCCTATTAAATTATTGAACTAATAATTTAGTATTTTTACACCGAGTCGGGACTGGAAGAAATATTATTATTTAAGTGACATTATTAATATATCGAGATTCTACTATATGTATGTTGTTTTGGAGACTAATATATGCACGTGTGGCACGCATGTAATATCTGCAATTTAAAGACAAAATATATACTATATACATTAGAATAAAAATATTAAAACGTAATTATTGTAGATACATACACGTATGTGTTTTGGGAAAAAAAATAATATTAATTATTAATCGATATGGTAAGAATGATCCTCGTCACGCAAAATATGTGATGTATTATGTATATAATTATTGATGTTTACGTTATTATATAATGTTTGCACCTAACTTGATAGAAAAGGATATTGGAGTAAAATTAACTTATTTTGCTTAGTAAGTTATCTTTCTAATAATATGTTAATTTGCAAAATAAAGATTATAAGAAAAAAAAAATTATAGAGTAGTTTTTGTTATAAAAAAATATAAAAAAATAAAAATAAAAAAATAATAAAAAAAAAACTAATTTTAATAATGTATGATAAATACAAACCTTGGTAGCTTTACAGAAATCAAGGTCACTCCAGCAAGTCTCGTCCACAACTTTGTCAGGGTGTCTATTAGGGTCCATGTAAACTGCACCGATCGATGAAGTTAACACCACACGGCGGACCTTGGTCTCCGCCGCCGCGCGTATCACATTTTGCGCACCGTTCACCGCCGGCTCCACCATTTGTTCCTTCATGAATTAAACATACGAAAAAGATTAGGGGTCGTTGTCTAGGCATTATTGGCAAACATCTTTATTAAAAAGTTAGGTGCATCCTAATCGCATATGGTTCACGACAAGTGTCTTAATCGTCCAAATTGAAATGTGTTAAGAAAAATATTATCGTGACACAACAAAATCTACTATGTATATTTTTTTTTAATAATTGGGGACATCCTCTTATGATTATTTAATCTCATACCAAAAGGTACTCGGCACTCGGTTCGAGATCGTTAGATAAAAACTCGTTCGATGTTGCTTATTGACATAACAAACAAAATTTGGACACATATTTTTGTTTGATAAACTGCAAAGCATGGATTGAGACCGAGCTTGATTGGAAAAAGAAAATGATAAAATATGTAAAAATAAATTTGAGCAACTTGAGATAGATTTTAGTTCGACTCAATTAAAACTCGTTCAAGTTTGAGTTTATCTTCTTATAAAGCCACACTCAAATATAACTTTAAAATGTTGATAAAAAATCAAACAAATTAATTCGAAAACAGGTGCGTTCAACTCCATTCAATTCGTTTACACTATGCTTTTTAAGTTTCTTTATCATCTCCTACATATGATAAAAATTCAAACAAATTAACTCGAAAATATGCGCGTACAACTCGACTCGATTCGTTTACAATGTGCTTTCTAATTTTCTTTATCATCTCCTACATATGATCTTAGCTAGTAATTAGAGAAGGCAGCATTTGCATCCCCAACCATTTATCTCTAAATAAATGTAATTTCACCCCTTTCTAATTTTTTTAAAGAGAAAATAAAGGTTGAATAATTTTCCATTTTTTTGTAGATATATAAACAATTAATAAGGTTTTCTTTTTGCAAATTTAGAAGAAAATCCCAATTCAATTTCGTCAATAAATCCCCAAACACCTCTTCTTTTTTCTTTTTTTTATTTTTTTTTTGCAGTAACACACTCTTACGTCAAATACAAGCATGCCAGCCACCAACCACCGCCAACCACCACCACCACCACCACCACCGCGGAAACCACCGGAATTTTACAGCTCGATTTATATTCACAAAAATCTTCAATGCAATTATACAAACACTCAGGGGCAGAAAAAAAAAAACTTACCGGATCATCAGTGACGGGCGACGCCGTATGAAAAACGCCGTCGCAGCCGTTAATGGCGGCGCGTAAGCTCTCGTAATCGTTCAGATCAGCCTTGCACAGAATCAGCCTCTCTTCTGCTCCGTCAAGCTCTCTCAAATGCGAATTTTTCGGATCCTCTGCAAACCAGACGTAAAATTGAATAAATGCACAAAAAAAGGGGGCAAAATCCTATACGTATATATATATATACGTATTTTTAACCTGGATTTCTGACGGTGCCTCTGACGGTGTACCCCTTCTCGAGAAGTTGTTTCACCAGCCACGAAGCGATGAATCCACCGGCGCCGGTGACGCAGACGAGTTTTCCGGGGACCGACGGCATGGTGGCTGCCCGATTAGCACTGTGTGTTTCTGTGTGTGTGTGAGTGTGTGTGTATTTTGTTGTGAGAGAGAAGAAAGTGAGAATATTTGATGAGTAATAATGAATGAATTGAAACTTGCGCGGCAGTGCTGTATTTATAAATGAAAAATAAATTTTGCCACTTCACCTACCGCGTGTTAAAAAAATTAAAATTAAAATGGGAAAAATATTTTAGAGAGAGAAAATAAATTGGAGTTTAGGGATGAGTGAGAAAGAATCTATCGCCATTAAGGAAAAAATCAATGTTTTGAAAAGGGGTTTTGGGGCATATAGTATTTATTTCGTTTTGCAGAAACCTATCTTTGGAAAAATTTGGAGAAATGAAGATAAATATTTATTTATATTTCGAGAGGTACGAAAAATAAATATTGTTTCAGTCAAATCATGTCAAAGTCTTTATCTATATCGAGAAAAAAAAATATTGTTTGTCTACAATATTTAGTGTATTTCATTCGATGCAGTAAAAAATATACTTCTTTGGTTTCGAAAAATAGCAAATTTGATCGGGTAAGAATCCTCTATTGGCCACTCAATTTTTAGTAAAGAATAAAATGGGTTAGAGAGGTTGGCAAGTTTTAATCACTAGAAGTTAAATGAATTACATCAGTTTCACATCACTCTTAATTGGGATTTTGCGACTAATTAAAATTTTCAATAATTTTAGGCAATTAAGAAGTGATATTTTCTTTATTGAGTATTGAAATATGCTCTTTCTTAATTGTGTTGTTTTTTTCTTTAATTAAATCTAGTGGAAGAAGCATTTTTGGTCACTCAAATTTTAGTTATAAAAGAAGCAAAGCGATATAGGTTTAGTATTTGATAATATACTCGATGAATTTTACTGAATATAGATCTCATGAGCGATCTATATACACGATGCCACACCCTATGAGCTTCGTATGATGCTTTTTCGCAGTTAATTTATACACATAAAATGTAAAATGTGTGTAAAATGCATATTAATTTATACCCGTGTATGGTGGAATATAAATCGGTGAACTTCATCGAATGTAGTATAGAACAAATTAGATCTAACTCCACACATTTAGTAGTAATTATATTTTACACATATGTGCAAATCTATGGTGAGATATTACCGAATGTAATTCATTACTAAGTTTATCATAATAGATAGGTTGGCAAGTTTTAAAATGAATAATTATTTTAAATTTCACTCACAATTACGAACTTTTAGTTTTTTTTTTTTTTTTTAACAAATTAAAGCAATTCACCACGTACATTAATATGAGTGGTTGTGTTGTATATAGGAGAAAATAAAATTGAGTAACCACAAATATTGGAGTTGGTGCGTTTAGCATTACGTGGGTGGAGTTGTTGGATATATATATATATATATATATATATATATATATATATATATATATATATATATATACTGAAATGATTTGTGCAGGCACAAATTAAACATTCAGGCACATTTTTTACCATTTCTCAAAAAACAAAAGGTAAAAAACTCAAAAAACTCTCTCTACCCTTTCGATTTTCGTTCGCAAAGCCCGTGCAAATCGTCAACAGATCGGAGGTAATTTTTACGTTTTTACGATCCTCTTGTTATGTAGATTACGAATCCGAAAAAAAAACGAAAAAAAACGATACTTGGGAACGCTCGCGCGATTTCACGCGAGCGCATCCACTTCGCTCGCGTAAATCGGGCGAGCGTTTCAATTTTAATTTTTTTTTTTTTTTTTTTTTTTTTTTTTTTTTTTTATAAATTTATTGCTTAAAAAACCGGCTTTTAAGTGCCTCGCGTGATTAC